GTCTTGGACAAACACTCATTCAGACATTTCATTCTGTAAAACAAACTCAGATCAAAAACATGAAACAATAATAAGGTCATTCCAAAGTGCAACTTGTTGGCTTTCAGGACCACTCAAAGAAATGAAGAGAAAACTTTGTGGAAGTCAGTGAATGTTACTTTTATTGACCAAGAAAAGGTAAAAAATATGGAATCACTCAATTCTGAGGAAAAAAGTATGGAATCATGAAAAACAGGTAAACAAAAGACCATTCAAAATACATCACTAGTATTTAGTTGCACCACCTTTGGCTTTTATAATGGCTTGCAGTCTCTGAGGCATGGGCTTGATGAGTGTCAAACAGTATTCTTCATCAATTTGGTGCCAGCTCTCTTTGATAGCAGTTGTCAGATCAGCTTTGCAGGTCGGAGCCTTCTTGTGGACCATTTTTTTTATATTTCCACCACAGGTTTTCAATTGGGTTGAGATCTGTACTATTTGCAGGCCATGACATTGACTGAATGTGTCTTTCTGCAAGGAATGCCTTCACTGTTTTTGCCCTATGGAACGATGCATTGTCATCTTGGAAAATTATTTCATCACCTCCAAACATCTGTTCAATTGAAGGGATGAGAAAACTGTCCAAAATGTCAATGTAAACTTGTAAACTAAAAATCAATGTAAACATTGATAGAATAATTAACCACAGTCATCTCCCCAGTGCCTTTGCCTGACATGCAGCCCCATACCATCAAGGACTGTGGACATTTGTTTGTTTTCTTCAGGCAGTCCTCTTCATAAATGTCACTGGAACGGCACCAAACAAAACTCCAGCATCATCACCTTGTCCAATGCMGATTCTTGACTCATCACTGAAGATAATGTTCATCCAGTCATCCACAGTTCATGATTGCCTCTCCTTAGCCCATTGTAGTCTTGTTCTGTTTTGTTTAGGTGTCAATGATAGTTTTCTTTTAGCTTTCCTGTATTGAAATCCCATTTCCTTTAGGCAATTTCTTACAGTTCGGTCACATATATTGGCTCCAGCTTCCTCCCATTTATGCTTCTTCTGTTTAGTTGTACTTTATCGGTTTTCAAGACAAATGACCTTGAATCGTTTGTCTTGATGCTTTGGTGTCTTTCTTCGTCTACCAGTACGCTTTGATTTAACAACCATTCCATGCTGTTTGTATTTGGTCCATATCTTGGATACAGCTGACTGTGAACAGCCCTCATCTTTAGCAACCATGATTGAAGAGTTATCTTTTTCAAGATATTTCACAATCCTCTCTTTTGTTTCAAGAGACATTTCTCTTGTTGGAGCCATGGTTCTTGCCACTCCACTTCGTCCAGCAACCCTCCAAGGTGTCATGACTGCARGTGTTTTTAACTGCAGACTAACGAGCAGATCTATTCTGAGGCAGGTGTCCATTTAGGGAAAGGAAAATGACTGGGTGTGTCCTTATTTTCTACCTCCAATTTGAGTGATTCCATATATTTTCCATGGGCTTGGTCAATAAAAGTAACGTTCACTGACTTCCACAATGTTTTCTCTTTATTTCTTTGAGTGTTCCTGAAAGCCAACAAGTTACACTTTGGAATGACCTTATTATTACCTCCGCCAAGGAGGTAATGTTTTCGGTCGCGTGGTCTGTCTGTCTGTCTGTCTGTCTGTCTGTCTGTCTGTCTGTCTGTCTGTCTGTCTGTCTGT